TTTTATCTTTACTGTACCTCCTTCCATCTCAGAACCTGCTCTCACCAGTCACATCCTACGGCGCCGATGCTGCCACACTGAAGGCCAGCACCCCCCATCTTTCTCAGCGTACACAGCTCCAGTTACTACCCTGTGGCCTTCGCTGGCCTTCCTTCTTCCCTTCGCCTTGGCTGGCTCCTTCGCCTTGTCCCATCTGACATGGTGTACTCAGGCCCACTTCGCTCTAACACCCAAGCTCCTGGCATTCCTCCTCAGTGTGTTAGTTACTTTGCTTGCCAAGTTCATACAAGTTACAAAATACTTGGCAGAAGCAACCTAAGAAAGGATGGATCTAGGTTCGTTTCTGAGGATTTCAGTTGTGGAGAAGGCGCGGAGGCCAGAGTGCCTCAGTCTGTCTTCACATCAACTGCGAGGTGGCTGGTCATTGTGGTGTTCAACCAGGAAGAGAGCCTAAGTGTAGCTAGGCCTTAGCTCTCATAGGTCCACCTCCCAATGACTCACTTCCACTTGCCAGGCCCCACCTTCCAAAGGCTTTATAATCCGCATAAACAGTATATCCAGCTGGGAACCCAGTATTTGAAATATCATGTTGGGGTAATGACATTCTAGGTTCAAGCCATGTACACCGAGCTCCTAGCTCCAGACAGTTATACCAATGGTCCCCATCTGAGCTCCAGGGGAGTGCTGATCTAGTTAAGGTCACATTTCTGTCTAAGAGGCATAACAATTCAGTACATCCTATATTTTTCCACCTTCTCCTGAAAATCTCTTCACTGTCCCTCCCTACTCAGCAGACGGTGACTCCATGCTTCTAGTCACCTGACTCTTTTCCCCGAGTCTACATGTGGACCCCATTAGCAAAGGATCTCCGCTCTGTGATGGCCACTCCCTCCAAAGGACTACTACCTCCTAGCTTGTGTCATTGTGGTGCCTATACTTCCTATTGAAGGTTTTTGACATAGTGGGTGTAGTTCCTCCACGGGTCCCTCTACTCAAACCTGTGATCCCTACAGCATCCAGAGGAAACACTGGCATTCTATTTATTTATTTATTTATTATGTATACAATATTCTGTCTCCGTGTATGCCTGCAGGTCAGAAGAGGGCGCCAAATCTCATTACAGATGGTTGTGAGCCACCATGTGGTTGCTGGGAATTGAACTCAGGACCTTTGGAAGAGCAGGCAGTGCTCTTAACCAGTGAGCCATCTCTCCAGCCCCCAACACTGGCATTCTTTTGGTCCCGCACATATGCCCCCATCCTGTTGTGCAAAAGACACTGCTCTTTTGGGGTAATGTTCTGGCGGGGCCCCCCCCCCGGACACAATTCCCTCTTTCATGAAATGTTTAATTAGATGTCACACTGTCATCGAGGTCTTTTTGGGAGGACCTTGTTTAAAAATCACGCCTCCCTCCTGGACGTTGGAGCTTTCTCTTTCTGTGAAGTTTTCTACAGCATTTATTAGCTAAAAAGAACATTCCTAGAAATAAACCTTAGTATAGATTTGTTAATGATTCCTAAGGCTAAATTATTAACATTTAAGGCTCATGATAAATACGTCAAACACCTGCCAGGCTATTTAACCTCTTCCCTGTTTGCTTCCCAAGAAGGGAAGATGTCTGGTACTAGCTCCATTCCCATCCTCGGCCTCAGGGCTTCACGTGTGATCCCAGCTCCCAGGATACAAACTGCTTCTCCTGGCTTCTCTTATAGGAAAGGCCCTATTTATCCTCGTAGGGCTGTGTCATGTTGGTGGGATCAGAAACTGGCATTCAGCAGCAAATTTGGCATCAAAAGTCTTGAGAGTTTATGAATTTATCCTTAGGAAATAATTGCAGAAGTTTGTAAGATTTTGGGCATGAAAGTTCTTTTCAGCAAGGATTATAGGATTAAGCTGGAATTAGAAGCAACTAAGTGATTTATGATAGATTGGCTAAATAGATTAGAGCATTATCTATCTGATGTAATGATGCAAGGTTAGTACATTAACAGGGGAGCAAAGCTTAATAAATAAGGAGATTATAAACTGCATTCCCAAAGACATATCTGAATCACCTGTCCAGAGACCTTTACTGTATTAATGTAACTAATTATATAATGCTGGCTAAACGGGAAAGTCAATACATGTTGTGATTTTTAAAAATTATAGCAGAAACAGCCCTAATATCTATGCACACAGGGGGAGAAACAGCCCTAATATCTATGCACATAAGGGAGAAACAGCCCTAATATCTACTCATACTATGGAATATTGTTCATCCACAAAAAGAAGGTTAGTACTAATATATGCCAACAACATGGGGAAACCTTAAAAATATTATGTGAAGTAAAAGAAGCCAGCTCTAATTAGGTACATAATCGCATGATTTCTGTTATATGAATGATCACAACAGGTAAACCCACATGGCTGAAGGTAGCGCAGGGCTGGGGATAGTGGAAATGTTTTGGAACTGGATAGTATTGATGGTTGTATGACTCTGTGAAGATACTAAAATGACTAAGTTGTACTCTTTACAATAATGTCAAGTAAAAAAATCAATTAATGCAAATTAGTGCTGATTAGAGTGGAAAATATGTATTACTGTAAATCACTGTATTTCTCAAGATCTTCGGGTGTGTGTGAAAACAAAACAAAAAATATGAAAGTGTTATATACACAAACAAAACTAAACACTCAAACCAATCCAACTTGTGGGCAGCGGTGACTCCTGGGGATGCTACTACAGTCAGTGCTGTCCTTCTAACTCTTCAGGCAGCACGTGTTTCCTTTATAATCAGAAGGATGGAAAAACATGCTGTTTCAAGACCTCTGGGAAGCTGGGTCTGCCCGCTGCCTGTGCTCCCTCCTCCCCTGGGCCTGGGCATTGTCCCATGCAACCCTACCCTGGTGTCACTGTACTCCCGCTCTGTAGCTGTCCTTACAGGCAGAGCTGTGCCTGATGTGCCTGCACTTGCAGGGTCCATAGACGGCGCTGACAAACCCTGCCAAGAGTCAGCTTTGCAAACAGGTGGATTTTACTCCATGCAGAACGGGGCTGCCACTCTCTACTGGAGATCCTCTGTACAGCTTCCCTTCTCTCTTACCACTTCCTCATTTCAAACCACTAGAAGAAAGACGACACAGAAGCCCCAGCTGAGGGGCTTGCTATGGGAAGACACAGTCATACTCTGACTTCCAATGGCTCTGGCAGACTTTCGACTTAACTTCCTCATGCTGCAAAGGTGGTGTTCATGCAACAACTGTGTGTTGTGTCTTCAGTTCACAAAACTAAACAGAACCCTTCCAACAGGCTTTGTGATAAATGACTTTGGCCAACTGTAGGCTGATGTAGGTGTTCTAAATGTGTTCAAATGCATTTTTGACTCACAATATTTTCAGCCATTGGGTCTGTGACTGCAACCTCATTTAAGTCAGAGAGTGTCCATGTTAAAACAATACTCCAGCACCTGCTGTGAATAGCATTTGTCACACAAGAAAAAAAAAAAACAACGATTCTGAAACTCACAGCCATCTCATAGGTTAGGTGACCAAGGTTCCCCCACTCAACAAGTAAGGAAACACGTGCTGGAAAGGCTAAGCAGCAAAGCCAGGTGTGGGAATTAGAGAAGCTGAGACTGAAGAATGGCTGAGCAGCTGAGGGCAAAAGATGTGAAGAGGGTCAAGCCAGGACGTCTAAGCAGGTTGTTTAAATGCCAGAATCAGTGTTGTGACACCCAAGATACTAGGGTTTTTTTTTGGGGGGGGGAGGATGGGGATGGGGTCAGGCTAGGCATATTGAGTGCTGCAAGTACTCAGAGTCAGGGAAAGGACTTTGCACTGCATATCCCATAAATGGCAGGGCTGACAGGGAGTTGCAGGTGGACAGGACTTGGGGCAGAAAGTACAGAGGAGGGGTTGGCCTGGCTGGAGGTTCTGTGGTTTGGGGAGGAAGAATGAGCTCTGGAGGGTTGGGTCTGTGCATGCCTGTTTGATACATGCACACACACAAAGGGGCCAGTCTGAAGGTGCGCCATGAGGAGCATGTTATTGTGTCGCATATGCGGCCCACACGCTGCATCACTGACGAAGCATGGAAGAGAGACTAAAAGAGGAAGACCAGGCAGGAGGTGCCTACAGCAGTCACCTGGTCCTGCCCAGAATAGCAGGAGCAGATGATGGATGGGAAAGGATGGGACAAGCTTGCCCACTGCCTGGATGGATCATCTGTCTAGTGACTTGCTAGGACTCTATCATGGGCATTCTGGAAAAGATTATGATTAGTTATAAGCTGAACAAGGCTGAGAATAAATGTACAGCTGTCAAGTGAGACATTCCTGTTTCTAGAAAATACTATAAAGTGTGCTGTTCATTTCTTACAATGCTGTTTATGAGTAATAAAACCTAGGCCAAACTGCTGATATGTACCCTGGTTTAGGGTAATGCTCCCCTGAGCAGACAGCTACTTGGAGAAGGCTTTGAAGAACTAGTTAAAAGGATAAAGACTCTGCATTGGCTGGGAATCAAACCTGAGCCTCCCACATGGCAGGAGAGAATTCTACCATCGAACCACCAACGCTCCAACTCACAGAGAGCTTTTTAGCTGCTGCCATGACCCACAGAGTGGATCAGCTCTTCTACAGGGAACTCACTGCTGACACAGAAGCAAACAGGGAGGGGCACAGCTGCCAACTCCTCATACACAGTAACTGAAATACAACTCACACCACAAAATTTTGCTTAACGCAACTTTGTCATTTTAAAGTATATAATTGGATGGTTCTAAATACAATCACAAAGGTGTACAGCCATTACCCTATTTAATTCTAGAATATGTTCACCATCTCCCAGAGAAACCAGGATCTGTCCCAAGAAGTCCCAGGTTCTTTTCCTCCTTGGTCTAAGCAACCACTATTCTACTTGCTGACTGGGATTCAGAGACACTAACTTTCATGTCAAGTCAAAAGGAAGCCATGCAAATACAAGGAAGAGAAAGTTATTCAACACACAAAAAAAACAAGATGTGGATATATCATTTTAATTATGTGTCTATGTTAAAAATATAAGAGATATTTCCCAAATTTGACATTGTTTATCTTCAGTGCAGGCAATCCTGCCACTTCGCAGCTTTCCCCTACTGTGCAAATCATCTAGAATGAGAATCATAAAACGAGGGAAGCAAAATAAAAAGCTTGCATACCAATAAGTTCACAAACTGTCTATTACTGAGCCGTCAGGTCTCCTTTCCTGTGCAAGGTCTGCATTAACTTACCCAAATTTCCTGTTTCCAGCAGCTCTCAAAAGTGCTCAAGCTACTACACTGGTCATAATGAAGTCCCAGGCTTCCTCATGGCGGGTGAGAACTCTGTCGGTGAACCATGTGCCACCTGTGTGCTGTTCTGCCTCCAGGTGTTTCACCGCTCTGGTGATGGCACAGCTGAAACCCGATACCCAATGCAGATACTCTACCAGCCAAACCCACAGGAGGAAGCCCTGGGATGTGAGTAAGGCTGTCTGTTGTTCCCAAAAGGAGGGAACAGCACACACTATGACTATGGTGGTTCTTTTGGCTCCAGCCGCAGGTTCCAGATCCTACTCTGTCACCTGTGGACTCTGCACAGGTTTTGCATCCATTTACTCTCTGGCTCACTGAAAAGGAGGACAACACTCCCTCCCCAAAGATGGTCAGAGACACTGAGGACAAAGGTCCAGGAGACAAGACCAGGAGGGCAAACTCTATCCCCAATCAACATAAAAAATGGTTTTCTTTATTTTACAAATAATCAAGGAAACAATGTAAAGAAAGCCTTTGAAAGGGCAGTTTAAAGGCACTGACTAGTGCAGTAGAAATCGCCAGTATTTGATAAACTAGCATTTTCCTGACCCATCCTCCCTGAGAATGGCTAGTGCAGGGAGGGCCAGATGTCGAGAATCAAATGAAATGCACAGCTTGGTGCTCCTGCCATGTTCCCAACAGTGACTTGATGGTGGCTAAACCCAGGAGGAGTTTGTGTAATGGTCTTTGAGGCAGCAAGGGTGAAGAGCATGGGCTTTTGGGGCAGCTGTCAGAACCTGCAGGATGGGGCTAACAAAGTACCTGCTTCACCAGACAGGTACCAGAAGCAGTCAGCAATGACACTACAAGTTTAGTTCCAGGACTTGTTTCCCCAGCAGCAAAAGTGAAGACTCTGACATCAGGGTACTCACCACTATCTGTCCCCTCCTGCTTTGGCAGGGAGTCCTCAGGGTTGGGTTCTGTCTGCCTCTGTGCTACTGGCTTTGGTTCATCTGGTTCATCATCCTCGGGAGTGACCAGCTTCATCAGGCTCTGGTTACACACATTGGCCACCTCCTTGATGCCTGTCCACTGATGTAAGGAGCTCCTCCAGGCAAACCCCTCCTGAAGCCTGAGGTCACCAGTCTTCCTGGCCATGGTCTTCCTTGCCACATGCACCCTTGAGAGATGCTCTTCTCCTCACAGGTGATCCCTCCTCCACCGGGATCTTTCCCACCCAAGGTACAGCAGAATGAGCTCACAGGGGTGGAACCTCGGTACATGGGATTGCTCTTTCAAATCTGGAAGCAGGTGAGGACTGGGGACAGCCAGCATAGCCCTGTGTCCCTTGCTTTCCTAACCCACACTCAGCTCCATCTCCTGCTTCCTAAATGCTAGACCATTTGGAGAAGTGAAGGAGCCTAAGGGAGCCCCTTCCCACTCAGGGTCCCTCGACTTCACAGTTCCCCTCTCTAGAGTAAAGGATACTTTTCTTGCGGTCATCATAGGCCAAGCAGGGCAGGACAGCAGTCAGGATTCCAGAGGAGTAGGGCAGCATTACCCGGCCTGCCAACTGGATGAACTCCCGCATCCAGCACATGGCTGTCAGCTGAATCAGGTCATCTGGAAGGGGAAATGGTGGCTTCTAGAGGGGCTGGTACATGCATTGGAGAGTTCCCTCCCAACTACCATGCACAAAGTCTAGTCCTGGAGATTGATGCACCAGGGGCCTGACTGCTTCTAGCTATGTGAATACAATACTTCTTGGGCTCTCTCCGTTCTAAAGGTTAAGAGAGTGCAGCAATCTTGTGCTGGACTTGAAAAACAGCCGTGGTGCCCTACCCTCCCTGGATCCATGCCCCACTGCAATATGACTAGTGCTTTATTTCTAAGTGGAACTCATTTTCCTGTCCTTAGATCCAGAAAACTGGCTTCTCTGGCCAACAGCTTACAATTATGGTGATAGTGTTGCTGGTTCAAACATAGGAATCATGTCCTATCCATATCCTATCTCTCTTGGAACCCTTCTGATGCCCCATCACCCCATGCCAGTCAAGGGCCAGATGTGCGTGAGACCATCACAGACCACCTGACTCCAACTGACCCTATACCTGGCTTCAGGGACATGATAAGGTTCAGCCTGGCTTTGGGAGCAAAACCACCCAGCTGACCTGTAGGTTCACGGCCAGGAACAAGAAGCTGTTGCTGTGACTGTTTCACTGTGGTCTGATAACCAATAGGTAGCGAGGGAAAGGCCTTTCTGACCTCTAAGTACCCTACCTTTACCCAAGGCAAAGCATGTCCACGAGAGCTTCAGAGCAGGTAAAGGGTGTTTGTTAAAAGAGAATCCAGATCTCTTTTCTTACCCAAACCCATCACTCTACAGCTTCTAGGTACAGAGGCACAGTGCCTCTCTCACTTGGGCTCTCTTTTGCCACATACTGAAGCTTGCATATGAGAGATGGGCTTCTGAGGATATAGCAGTGACTATAGGGTCTCCAAACACTCACCTGTGGTCTGGCAGTGGATCACCAGGATGTTGGCCATCTCAGCAAACTTCACACTGGAGGGGTTCTTCTTAATTTCTTTCAAGAATTCTCCAAGAACCACCTCACACCTACCAATGAGAAAAGGAGGAATGAGCTAGCATGTCAGCTCATTCCTGTTCTGTGTCACATCCCAGGACACCGAGCAGAGAAGGGAAGGTGAGCTCTCTATTCCTCCACGGGGAAGGATATGGGAAGAAGTAAAGGGCGTGTCTTGGTCACCAGAACGTGGAGTTGTATGTGACAATGGGCACCCAGAGGGATTCTACTGAGTGGCAGCTTCCTGCTCCTTTCCCCCACTCACATTTTTCGAATCTCTTTGCCATTGTCACCCAGGATCTGGAAGAGTCCATCTAATATCTCCGGCAGGTAATCCAGCAGGTTAATGTCCGGCACCGACACCAGAACCAGGATCTGATGGAGGAGGGTGGTGAGAGGGAGAGCTGGGAGACCTGGCTCAGGTGTAGAGTCATCATTAGGAGAGTGAAAAGGACTAGAGGCCTGTGTCATGGCAATGCAGGTACCTATGGTGGATGGTGCTGGCAGCCATTATTTTTCTGCTCAATGTACAAGGAAAAGGGAGTTTGACTCCAAGATTATTTGGATGCTGGGGGAGAGGGGGATTGATGGGAAAGGCTGGATGAAGCTAGCAGGCTTGTAAAGGTGGAGTGGCTGGATGCAGCACTATGGACTTCAGAGATCCTGGGCATTTTCTAGGACAAGGAAAGAATCTCATCTCTTCAGGGGCAAACAGGACAGGCAGTGAAAACAACACTGGATAAAGTGCTTCTGTTGCTTTGTTTTTTGAGACAGGGTCTCACTGTGTGGTCCTAACTGGCCTGGAACTTGCTTTATAGACCAGACTGGCCTTGAACTCACAGAGATTTGCCTGTTTCTGCCTCTTAAGTGCTGGAATTAAAGTGCCACCATGCCCAGCTCACAGCGTTTTGGTGACAAGGTTTTTAAAGGTTATTGGGGAATACACAAGGCGGCATCTCTTAGCCCAGGGAAATACTTTGTGTGTCAGAGTGCATGTGACTCTATCAGAGACTCCTGGTGGCTGGAAGAACCTACCAAGGACTGGACCTTACCCAAGAGATGATGAACTGCCGGGCATATTGGTTGTTAGAATAAATCCTCTCCCGCAAAAGGGGAATGAAGCCGACCAGGTCAAACTTGTTGCTTTCTGTCACAATGTCCTGTGGGTCAAAGGAATGAGGGCTATGAAGAACCAGAGCTTGGCCTGCTGTGCTGCTGGCCCTAGGCTGACTTGAGAGTCAGGGAATCATGGAGGGAAACGGCAGAACCAGGGCCAGGTAGGAGAGGTCCCTGGAGAATTGGTATTGTCACAGACTCAAAGCCAAACAAAATGAAGGATGGTGAGGAGAGAAAAGTCAAGAGACCCAAATGAAAGGCAAAACCATACTCTGAAGTCTAGGGTAAAGCCCAGCATCCTGTCATGGGAGGCTGGGGTGGAAGCTCAACTTCATTGCTCTGGCTGGGGTATTAAGACAGAAGATTCTGGGCTGGAGAGATGGCTCAGCAGTTAAGAGTGCTGGCTGCTGTTCTTGAGGACCTAGGTATAATTCTCAGCACCCACATGGCAGCTCACAACCAGCTGTAACTCATGTTCCAGGGGATCTGATGCCCTCTGGTCATCTCTGCAGTGATCAGGCACATAGGTAGTGCACAGACATACATTCAGGCAAAGCTATACACATAAAGTAATAAAATAGACCCCCAAAACAGAAGATTTTCATGCAGGCAAAGTATCTATACATATAAAACAATAAAATAGACCCCCCCCAAAAAAACTCAGAAGATTTTCATTTAGAGGGATGAATTAGAGACTCTGAATTTTGAGTGTGGTAGTGACACAGCTCTATATACTTGTCATGGAAACTGCATACCAAGCAGTAAGCTTTAATACATATGCATGTACTAAATGCATATATAAAATTTAAACGAGAAAAAACATCTTTCAATGCCAGAATTTCTACTCTACACAGAAGAATAAACTCTAAAAATAAAAGAGGGACAAAGTAGAAATACCTTTAAGAGTCTGTCTAGGAGTTCAGATCCACTTTTCACATTGGGGTCTGGGTCAGCAGCCAACTATGAGGCACCAAAACAGAGAAAGAGGCAATGCTCAGTCATAGTGAGATGGAAGCCAATGGAGTAAAGCAAACCAACAGCCAAGATCACAGTGCAGATTAGAACACCAAGTGGTGTCCTCCCCCAGTACCTGACCCCGAGAAGTCAGTCAGCTACAGTGGAATTCTCGCTTGCTCAGGGACAGCTCCCCTCCCCAGCCTGCAAGCTCTGCTGGGGTTCTCAGGTCATGTTCTAACTGGGTCAGATGGTTGTTTCCATTGGCTGCTCCCGGGGCATTCCCATCTTAAAAGGCTTTGTTCCCTCCCAGGGCACTGATGCAGCAGTGAGGGTGGCATTTAGAAATGTCCATGTAGTTTATTCTGCACGATTTACAGATTTTCTGGGCCATTATACATTGCTGGGAGGGCAACTCCTCCAGGCTGAGGAAAACATCAGCAGGTGAGGGGTGGGCAACTTTAACAGTATGAGGGGAGGCAACCCCACCACGGTGAGAGGCATGAAGAACAACAGGGACCCTAAAGCTCTTTGGGGATTATTCTTTTTCTTTTCTTTTCTTTTCTTTTCTTTTCTTTTCTTTTCTTTTCTTTTCTTTTGAGACAGGGTTTCTCTGTGTAACAGCCTGGCTGTCCTGGAACTCACGCTGTAGACCAGGCTGGTCTCGAACTCACTGAGATCCTCCTGCCTCTGCCTCCTGAGTGCTGGAATTAAAGGCATGAGCCACCACCACCCAGCAAGGGGGATTATTCTTTAGCATACCAGGGAGATTGGAATCACCTTTATTACCTTTGCCTGGGAAGTTAGCACTTCTCAAACTACCAGCTTTTCTGTTAATGTGTACAGCAGGCTGACACTGTCACAAAGTGCAATGAAGACGGACAGGGACATCAAGAATATACAGATAAAAGTCTATGAAAAATTAGATTCAGACAGTATGTGTCCTTTGTAGCAACATGCTTATCTGTTCTGCTTGCATTTGGGCAGTGCCCCAAGTTTTCAGGGTCCTAGAAAGCCACATTGGCTGGGTGGGCTGTTCCTAGCTTAATCAGAATTTACCTTACTCAGTCCATCAAACAGAACGTTGAAGTGTGGCAGCACAGCACCCCGGGCTACTTTGACGATGTTGTAGAGGGCTTCGCAAGCGTAGTAGCGCAGCCTACTGTCTGCATCATTAAAGCAGGTCAGCACTGGTTCGATCAGTTCCTTCAGGTAGAGCCCCGAGTCCTGTAATGAGCAGAAGGACTAGTCAGAAGGGCTAGGCCCCTGCC